GACGATCATCAAATGGCCTGATTATGGCATTTATTGAATGGAATTACCTGATAATACACACTAGACGTAAAACTCACAGTTACTGTTTGAATATTTTATGTTTATTTTAATTGTTTAACAACGTTTTCACAAGTAAATCATGGACCCAACTTTAGGGACACATTTCTTTTCTATGTTCCTAACTTTGGCCCATGAAATTCATTTGACAGCATATAGCAATAAGAGTAACGTCAACAATGTGGTTTGCATTTGGATGATAAGGAACGAACAGGAAGGGAGATTTTTTCTGCCAAATCTGTATAATGAACATCACAATGTTTTGATTTAGATATTCTGCGGTCGAAAGACGATAAGCGAAATTTTTAATTTTTAATTTTTAACTTGAGTGATTTAATGTAGTTTTCGTAAAATTTTCTCTAAGAAATGTTTTGAGGAATGAAGAGTATTAAGTTAACAGTGATAGTGATAAAAAAAAAATACATAAGAAAACGTTACCAAGAGCGTTTTTTTTGAGAATCAAACAGGATAGGACGAAGTTGCATCCATAAATAGACCCAATTTGGGGACAATAGACCGATATTACATACATTTCCCTGGTGAGTTTTTGTCTTAAAAAAAGTAAGTTTTTCAACTTTTTGCGGTTCCTGATAGCAAACGACATGATAAGCATATCTAAGCATACCATTTAGCAGTAGAATATCGTTTGCAGGTAAATTAATTGATGAGTTATGATTAAAAACGTAATCTATGGCTGCATATTAGACCGAGGTTAGGGACGTATACCCTACAATTGTGTAATCAAACTTTCTTTGATTCTCCAAATCATCCTGAGGTTCATAGCTTGTTGTTGTATAACTTCAAAGAGGTATTGATCAAAGGCCCATTCCAACTAAATTTATGAACTCGTCGATCTTTTTGGAGATCCATAATGTCATTCGGGATATATAGTTGTATGTATGTATGTATGTAAGAAGCCACCATCCTAGCTTGGGTCTTGCCCTGCATGCGGCTCCACTTAACAGCAAGATCAAATTTCGTAATCATTCTGAATTCAACATATTGCTGTATGAAGGGCCAAAAAGGATTGGGCGGGCCCGTAAGCAGATACACTTACACGACACTCGCGGGAATAAAAGAATCTCCTTCCAGCAATATGATCCAACAAAACGAACCACGAAATTCGCAATACATGATAAGCTTTCCACGGGATGGTTTGTTTGAGAAGAGCGCGTCAAATTCATTGCAACTGTTGGAGTAAAATGCAACTATCTAAAATGACAGAACATTTCCTCCTAGACTCCGGCTGGCACTCCACTCCATTGTCCAGTTACAACTTCAATGATACTCTGATGCTCCCTCCCGTCCCCGCATTTTATGAGTCTACAATATAATTTTAAATATATAACATGCATTATTTGAAGTTTATTAAATATATAGTGAATTGCAAAGTATAAGAGAAAATAAGCATGAAAATGTTCGAATAACGTAGATTTTAAATTTTTACAATTGTACTTTTTTTTATATTTTGAAAATATCGATACTATTTTTAGCAATGAATCAATAGACCGAAAAATCTAGGTTATTTGGACATGAAACAATACTTTTGCAAGGATACTAATGAATAAATCAACAATGGTTGTATATAGTGAAAAGCCTGTAAGAGTAAAATTATTTTGTTATTACACTGTAATGTAAGGTTATATTAAGGCAATTTGAAATTATCTCCAATGATGCTATGCTGTTTACTTCCAGACGTTTTTATATCCTGTTTGTAAATATTTGAACAATTAATTAATTATTTTGAACAAAATAAATATAATTTCATGTAATGTATTCGTTTTCGCATTATACCAATATCGATACTTTTATGAGTTGGCTTTTAAGACAGGTTCTATGCTACTAAAACAATTTAAAAAATGGGGTTATACAATTTATGTTAAAAGTTGCATGGATGTTCTTCGATTGACGCTCATGTGTTTCGTATATTTTCATCATGCTAAATATAAAATAGATAATAATTTCTTATTATTAACTGCAAATTAGATACGAAAAAAAACATTGTCAATTTTGATTATGAAATCTAGAAACGCAAAAAGATAGTGAAATAATGCCAAACAACATATGATGTATCTGCCTACATTTATTGAATTAAGTGTGCCTTGCGGTGAAATCCTCAAAATTCAAATGGTATTTGCCAGTTACTAAGCTCGGTGGTGCATCATCCAAGATGCTTTGCTCGTTGTACTTCATTGAAATGTAGAACTATAAGCAGCTTCAAATTATATGACCTTTTATCTGAGCTAATCGTAAAGACGGAAGTACCTTTTAATATACTAGTAATCTATATCATCTGTTGAACTGGGAACACGGCATATGCATCTCTGACTTTACAGCGCAGTTTGCATTCACGCTTATTCTATTCCATTGGAGTACTCTCACACACGCATAAAAGTCATACTTGAAAGCTTCATTGAGCGGTGCGCCTCTCCCGGTTGGGCCATCCAACACATATACACTTAAGAATAAACACCATTCGGAGATCAAATCTCCCCTCAATAGACCAGTCCACATTTAACGATTATCTTCATCTACCGTCTCTTTCGCAAATAACTCGGATACAAAAATGTTCCCTGTCGTATTTGTTTTATGAATTGCTAGATTGTTGTTTCTTCTATGGAACTGTGTGTCGAAAATCTCCGGAAATATCTTAACATGGCCATGGCGATTCAAAGAGAAAGTCGATGAAGAGAACCGATCAATGCAGACAGGATCCATTGAAAAGTGCCGCGCGAAATCAATCTGCGGAGAATACTCTCTCACACATACAGTACTTATTTCGTTACTGATTTCGAAACGCTGTACGGGAACATCCATAAATCACGTAGCATTTTATGGGGAACGGTTTTTTTTAGTTTCAGAAGTTGTGACCGGTCACGTATTAGGCATAGCAAAATACGCTACGAGGAGGGAGGGTGTCTAAAGTTGGTAATAACTATGCTACGTCATTTATGGCTGGTCCCTAAAAAGCTGGTGTTTCGACATCCTCGTTGCTGAAATACCTGCTCTGAAAATGCTGTATATTGAAATAAAAACAGTGACGATGATGCTTGTTGTAGTGCCACTTCTTGCTGGACATGGATTAGTTTGCTAAATTCAAATTCATTAATCATTTTTATAAATAAAGCTTCATATTTTAACATAATTATGCCGATCAAACAAAAACAATTTACTTATCTTTTAATCCGCACATTAAATCTGGCAACATCTATGTAAAAGCGGGAATACTCCTTCGGTTTGCGCTACCTCAATCTTCTCTCTAGACGTTGAGAATTTTCAGCTATGCAGTGTGAGTGTCTCGTTCCACGTACGTGTGCGACATCTTTCATAATGCTTTTATCGTTTACATTTCATGTTGCACACCGATTACTCTTCTTCTCACCAATACAACCTAGCTCCACGATATGCGCTTTTATTCGTCAATGAAAACACAATTTCAATAATTTTCACAACTTTCTTCATGAAAATGATTTGAAAGCACAATCCACAACTTAATTTTATGAACAGCTCTCCATCCTGTCCATGCACTTAGTCAGATCAAACAAAATTAACACTGTGCTGCTCTTTTTTCATGTTCATTCACTCTACTCTAGCATAAACCATTATTAATAATTCTAATATTTCACTCGATAATTTGATTAACAATGAAAAACAGACTTGATAAATAATTTCGGCACACAATTGAAAGCAGAACCGATAGAAAATCTTGAAGACACAAAACAAAACAAAATCCAGACTCTTTGACTCAAGACAATCGTTCCCGACGAACGACGCGAGTGAACTGTCATTCGGGATATATAGTTGTATAGACAAAGTATTTCGGGTTCTCCAAATTATCCTGAAGTTAAGCTCTTGATGTTCAACATGCACACAAAGTCGTGTACGCTATCCTGATTTATTAAATGAATCCCAGGAAATTCGTGGAATATCATTTCATTACATCATGTGTGACTTACGACGTATTATCAAAATATAATAGGCTTCTTAAAGTGCTTGGAGTTCTACAGACTCAACAGAGTCTTCCACAGCCAACTTGCCATCACTCAACCCAGGAGACTTCATTCTCTTAGTATGCACAAGTTTCTCAAATATACGTCCCCAACTCAATAATCCCGTCAATGTCGAGTTAAGGAGCGTGTTCAGGACTAGCACCTCGAACGATATTTTTACCTATGACGTTTACCAAGATCCTTTCCTCATTTAATATGCTCATCGTAAATATAACAAGTGATAGGTACTGCCGCTGCTGCTCCTCGATAAACAATTATACTGCTCCACTCTCTCCTCCTGACGCCCCTTAAAATATATTTAAATAAGTAAACACACAAGCCACAGCTCTAAAAAGCATCTAATAAATTAAGAAAATTCAATAAATAATTCAATAATTTAGATACTCCACATAGGCGTAAAAAAGTACGACGACGAGGTACGAACGGCAGACGTCAACACCACAAAAATAAACACTCACAGAAAAAGAAAAACGAAGTGGTTCAGTCGAAAGAAGGTGAAGATATATGAATGCGTTTTATGATACTTGCTCATTTTCATAAACAAAAAAAAAACGTGTCCACCCTAACCCCCCATCGGAACCGTTTTCCCCCATAAACCCGAAAAAAAATGTTCATATTTTATTTTAATATGTGAGATTTCTCGTTGTCAACACGATGTGATACTAACCCGAAACATCAGCTCCAATTAAGTTTGGCGCGACCGACCCGAGAAACATGCCGCGTCTCGTCTCGTCGATTGCTCCCACGGAACATGGGCAGCTGGAAGAGATTAGCAATTTTGTGTCAGCGAAGAAAGTTGCCCATGATCCTTCCAGCGAGCGAGCAAGCGAGCGAGTGCGCGGGTGTCATCAATTCGGCGGTGGCGCCAAATGACAAATCGGGCGAAGAATCGCTAACATATATTTCTTTTTCCCACCACACGCCGTCCGGCAGACATCGACGAATGCGCTCAGCAAGGTGGTTCTGATGGTAATCACTGCCATTTGAACACGCGCTGCGTCAACACGTTCGGTTCGTACGTGTGCGAGTGTCTGCCCGGCTACCGGCAGCTGGACAAGTTCAACTGCGTCGAGGTGGACGAGTGCAAGTCGCCGGACATGCACAGTTGCCACCAGCATGCGGACTGCACCAATACGGCCGGCTCGTATCACTGCCGTTGCAAGGCTGGCTACGAGGGCGACGGGTATGACTGTAAACGTGAGTATATCGGGATCTCCGTTACAAACGGTAACTGAACAATTCATCCATCCATCTAGCGGTGTGCAATCAAACTTGTCTGAATGGGGGCGAATGCCGGGCGCCCGGAGTGTGTACGTGCCGTGCCGGCTACATGGGCGAATCTTGCGAGAAGGATCTGGATGAATGTGCGACCGGTGTGCACCGGTGTAAGGAGACAACGAACTGTGTTAACATGCCAGGATGGTAAGGTCGATTGATCTGAGGCCCCAAGATTAGGTCACTAACCGCGGAATGCTCCTCCATTGCAGGTACTTTTGCAAATGCAAGCCTGGATTTGAAACCAAAGGAAAAGATTGTGTAGATATAGATGAGTGCTATCTGAACACGCACAGCTGTCATCCGACGGCCCGGTGCGTGAACACGCAGGGACATTTCGAGTGTGTGTGTCCGTCGGCTGAGGAACGTGCCAGCGGGATGGTGCTATCCAGCGCCAGCGAGTGTAGGTTAAGTTGTATGTTCGAGGACAGTGAAATTCCGAACGGTGGCCAAATTTCGCCCCGGAATCAACCGTGCAAGGTTTGCACCTGCTCCAATGGGGTAATCAGCTGCTTGGAACCACCGTGCAACTGTTCGTCCTGGCGGAGGGGCAGCGGGCGAGACCTGTGCTGTCCGCAGTGTGATCCCAAAGAGTCCTGCCAGCACCAGGAGCTGAAGCATGTGACATTCCGCAGCGGAGAGCAGTGGATTTACCAGTGTCAGACGTGCGAGTGTCTGGTAAGTAAACGCTAATCCACCCAATCGGAACTCGTCCACTTCACAATCTTACCCTTTACAGTACGGTGAATTCGACTGCTGGAAGCTCGAGTGTCCACCGCTGACTTGTGATAATCCACTCCCACTGGGACCGGGCGATTGCTGCCCGCGATGTCCGGACGACATGTGCGGCCTCGACAACGCCACCACCAACGGGATCACCGGAGGCTCCGGGAGCACCTGCCTGTACGGGCAGCACATCTACGCCTCTGGGCAGTCGTTCTCGTCCAGAGAGTGTGCCACCTGTTCCTGTAAGGTGAGTTGATTGTTTGTTGCTTCATCGAACAAACGCCCATATCCTAGCCATAAGAAAACCTCTCTTCTCGGGAAAGCCAACATTCAGTAATCAAACTTCCTAGAACAGAAAAGCGTTTTGAGTTCTTTCGTTCGTTTCTTACGTTCCGTTCCATAAACTGAAGTCAATGTTGTTGATTAGGATTGATTTGCTCTATCGGTTTCCTGTTCATCGTTATCGTCATTGAACTCATCAAAAACTGATCAACTAATCGGCTAAAAAAAACAACTAATCAACCAATAATGGCATGTTTTTTTTTCGCTGTGCTTCTAATTTTGAGCTTCCGATTAATTTCCAGCCCCAAAAATATTAATTACTGCTATTGAATCGAACCCAACCGAATAAACGATAATCAATCGGATGTGTATCGCTAACGCCCTTTCGCTAACAATTTCCTGTTGCTGATGTTTAGCCATGTGTTCTGTCTCCACACTTATGTTTTGTCAAGTCGCAGCCATACAAATTTCCGTTTCTATTTCCGTCGCTCATGTTTTTTTTTCCAACGAACGGAAAGCTATCGCTAGTGATTATTGTTTCCAGTATCTAATATTCTATCGAGCTTAGCGTTAAAAGTGCAGGAGATTTTTGCAAATACCTACACATTTACTACATCAGCAGCATCAATGATAAACAACATTCACAACGCACACGCCTTCGTATTGGAAAGTTACGAAGATCAACTGACAGAATTGTAATCAAACATCCCCTTCAAAGGATTATCGAAAGGAATGGCTAATTCTATCACTGCTATTTCACATCACCACCAGCGCGAAAGTTGCATGCACCGAACGGTTTAAGGCGCTTTTCATAAAACATGTGATACTTTAAAGACGCGGATCACAGCAGCCATTGCTCATACTATGGACGAGTGCACCGATGGATTTGAGTTCACTCGCTCGACAAAAAGTGACACAATCTGCGGGCAATGTTTACTAATCATGAACAATAAATGTTCATTATTCATTATTCATGAACATTTAGTGTTCATTATTAGTAAACATTGCCCGCAGCTTGTGTGACTGTTTCCTCGAGTGAGTGAACTCAAATCCATCAGTGCACTCGTCCATGCACATGAATCCGACTCCAATTTGAGTGCAGTTTACTCAAATTCGCAAAAACGCAGGTTTGCGTTCGATTTTCCTCAAATATCTGCGTGATTATGAGGGAAATCTAGCAAAATTTTACTCGTTCTACGAGTATATTCATAGACCAATTAAAATGTTCCTCGATTTTAATCATATAGGGGTAATGGGTGTAATGTGGGCCTAAATGTCCCTAATTTGGGCCCATACATAAATTCAGTAATCGACTAAATTTTCAATAGCGACCAAAAATATCCATTAGTACCGTCCCAATGACACGTTCATCTAGATAAAATTGATAAATAGCAGATTTTTTGCGTTGGGCCCAATCTTCCCCTACGCGCCAACTTATGATGAAAATCGAGGAAAACTTATTCAGCTTTGCGTTTTTGCGAACTCGATAAAACGGAACTCAAAAAATGAGTCAGATTCAACGGCCGTGCACACCGCTTTGCATTTTCTCGGGCACACAACTGACCAGTTCTGAGATTTGTCATTGTCATTTTAAGGCTTCACGCGATATTGATAAATTTAGCTTTGACATCGTCACTAGAATCGTCAAAATATCATTCATTTTTACGTCAATGACAAAGAATCATCTGGTAACAAAAAGGTAATTTCGTGCATTCTGTGTCACATTACTGTTATTCAGGCAGTCACGGACGTAGATACTTGTTCACTTTCATATGCACTCGCATTGCCACCTCGATTTCAGACACTATTGCGATTTCAGGCATTAAATCATTGCCTTTGAAGCAGTTTTGTTATCCAACTTTCCATGCTCGGTTATGGCGACCTGTTTGTATGAATAAATGTATCCTTCATTGTGCTTTTTGACACTAAGGCTGTGTTCCATTTGGTGAATTTTCACTTAAATTTGACAGATGGAAAATTTTCAAATAAACCTGCTATTGTACCAGACTTATTTCTGACAGACCAGGAATCAATTTTGACAAACACCTTCTCGAAAATAGGAAGATCAACAACAGAGGGATTTTCAAACATCATAATTTATTTTCGAAGTGTCAAATTTAAGTGAAAATTCACCAAATGGAACACAGCCTAACTGGAGGGCGTATGTTGTTCCATTTTCTTCTGTTCCTGGGAAAGTGGAAAGGGAGGGGTAAACATTCGAACATCCAGATAGTGTCAAAAAGCACAGTGAAGGATACATTTCGACCATGAGCATGCATAAGGGCGAATACGCGATGATCGATTCTCTTCATCGATTTTCTCTTTGCATTGCTACAGCTAAGCGAAACAATTTTCTAGAATTTGTTCAATGCAGAGTAGTAACAAGATGTATTGGCTATCAAAAGCAACAGCAAACGCACCGAGAAACATTAAATCTAGCGAGTTATTAACAAAAGAGAAAATCGACGAAGAGAATCGATCATCGCGTATAGGCCCTTATGCATGCTCACAGTCGATTTATTAATACAAACAGGCCACCATTACCGAGGATGGAAAGCTGGATCGTATGTTTTCCGATAGCAGATAATTCTCACCTGGAAAATTCGAAGTGGCATCAGAGCCCGGGTTTCTAGATCTATCACCTCAATGGCTCCATGGAATTGTTTTACATAATTAATTTAATCTCGTTACAAATTTAACTTATTACTAAAATTGCACATGTTGTTCACTTCCCTTAAAGATGAGCGCCCAAATCTGTTTTGTCAATATCGCCATGTATTGACGATATTTTGCAGATCTACTGTACAAAGTTGAAAATGCTTATTGTTTGATGCAGACAAGCAAGCTACGAGTTAAATTTAGCCCAACAATTGAAATAGGCGGAACAACCAAACGTAAACAATGGCTTTAAACGGAAATTTCTCGACGTTCAAAATACACCCACGTAAATTAACAAAGCCATTCGATAAAGGAAGTGTCCGCTTTCAGATGCTGATGTTAGATTGCGTGAATGTGTTTTGATTCTCGAGAAATTTGCATTTAAAGCCATTGTTTACGTTTGGTTGTTCCGCCTATTTCAATTGTTGGTCTAGAAATTATCAATTCTGCACTGCAACTGGACGGTGAGATGTTGTGCCTTTGAAAACGCAAAGAGGTGGAGCAGATGAGGCTTCACTGAACATTGACCCCAAAATTGACAGCCGTTTGAAGCAAAAACCTGATTGATTACAGTTATCGGTTCCGGATGGTATTTGTTTCCTCAGTCGACAAAAATCTAGTAACCCATGATATCGCTCTTTTCGGTGGAGCAACATGGTCGCTCATAACGAGGCTAAATTGGATAAAGAGTCGACTTGTAATCCATTTAACAGGTTGTCTGGTGGATTTGAATGAATTTTCTTAACGCTGTGACAGATGGCAACCGCTTCCCGAGCAGGATAATATAACCTATGAATACCTAATTCTGTTCCTGAAACTAAAATTTAGTTCAAAGTGTTTTATGTTACTTTATACGCGAAGTTAGCGATTTTCAGAGTTGGTTGGAAATGCTAACATGAAGCTTTAGTGTGATAATTTATTAGCTAGAGAATGATCTTTTTAGAAGAGAGTAGGTGGATAGTTCCGTTAGAGTACGGCAGTATGAAAATTGAATAGAAGTTGAAAATGAGCGAAGGGCCATTAATGCGACAGTTTTTTTTTGAAGATAGACGCACATCTTTTGCCTAACCCGTACGATGTACGCGGAGACTTGAAGTATGTAGTGATGAAAACGTCGCTAGAACTATTCCACAGCCGCAGTCAGTTTATGAGCAAAAGAGGGACGCACATTTTTTGCCTGTAGACTTGGAGACATACTTCAAGTCTCCGCGTACATCGTACGGTTTAGGCAAAAGATGTGCGTCTATCTTTAAAAAACTGTCGCATTAATGGCCCTTCGCTCATTTTCAACTTCTATTCAATTTTCATACTGCCGTACTCTAACGGAACTATCCACCTACTCTCTTCTAAAAAGATCATTCTCTAGCTAATAAATTATCACACTAAAGCTTCATGTTAGCATTTCCAACCAACTCTAAAATTTAGTGTTGATCCTGACTTTCAAAATAATAAAAATTGATATTTGGATACCAAAAGAATGCCTGTGTGGTATCGTTTTGGTATTGCATTTACATACTTAATTTGGTATTGGAATGATATTGTCGGAACATTCTGTTGATATTATTCTTTGTTATTTTACCTCTTATGAAAGGCAAATCCAATTTAAGAGATCGAGATATCCGGAGAACTTTGAGATTTGGGCGTGATTGCTTTTGTAAACAAACACGTCAATCGCCGATTTCTCACGAATAAAAGATCAATCTTGCAAACAGACTATACCAAATGATAGAGGAACTATTTCTCTATCTGTTTGTGTTATTAGTTTTTAAATTTAGCTTTAACTCGCGAGAAATCGGCAAATGACGTGTTTGTTTACAAAAGCAATTACGCCCTAATCTCGAAGTTCTCCGGATATTCGTTCCTGCTCGGGTTGTTACAATTGTGACGTGTCGTCTTTTCTGATTTCAGCCTTCAGTGGGCTTTTTTTCATTTAGCAGCAATCGTAAACTTCCAAGCGTCTCCGATTGTAAACAGTGGGATAGCTGTTAGAATGAGCCTTTTTTGTATCATGGATTTCTGAATAATAAACAAGTGGAAACAAATGCCAACCTAATACAATAACACTTATTCTACAACATAAATCCGCTCATTACCTGAATTCTACTGTATAAAATTTGGAACACACTAACTTTGAACTACCAAATATGTACGAGCTTTTATCATTCAGTTAAACAACTAGGGTAAGTGAGTCAGTTTTGTCACTAGTGCTTGACCCAACATGTGACAAAATCTATGTTCTAACCCTGCATGAAAATACATTTGGTGAAAATTGATATTTTTTCTTAACTAAGATAGGGCCAATTAGGGAATTCAATGTTGTTGAAAATGGCGTTGCGTTTAGAGCAAGTCGTAGCTTACTAAGACTGTGTTCCAATTGGCGAGTTAAATTTAACTCGTGGATAAAAGTGACAGATGGAAAGTTATCGAATAACCCTGCTATCCGAGCGTGGTTTTTTGACGTAGACTACGTTTTACAGGAAGGTACTGGGGGTAAATCGAAAATCTAAAATTGCGACCGTCACGAAAATATGTAAGATTTTGAACGCCTATAACTTTGTCATTTATCGACGAAATTAAAATCCAAATACACCAATCGATAGGAAATAACTCTCACAGTCTGCTACAATTAATGCTTTTCTAATTTTCTCTAAAAAAAATCGTTGAAAAATGTACACCTAAAAAGTGATAATTTTATCACTGTTTCCATGAAATAAACGTGCTCCGCAAAGCAAGCCGTCGATAATCGAGTACCATTTGGTTGCGCATCGTTTTGCTGGAACCTGTAAAACTATATGAGAGCTCTGCTGTCGTTCCTCCGCTCATTAAAGCTTCGGGCGGCGTGGCAAGCAGAACCAAGAGCAAATCAGGAAAAGGTGGATTTTTTCCCTCTGGCTCTGCTGAACAACAGCGCAGTCAGGCTAGAGAAATTTTCGCATCGGACGGACGCTGTGGTAAAATGGCAGCAGTCAGCGTGATCACTTTGATGACAACCAACGATGGGGTGGAGAGGATGTGGAATTTGTGGAGATCGAAAAATTTAAGGACCACACATATTTTACAAAAAGAGTAATTAAGACTGTTTTCGGTCACGTTCAAATAATATGAAACGCGACAAATATTATTTTTACATTTCCTCCTTATAATGAAAACCTAAAATGAATTGATTTTAAGTTTTTCACCCGTCAAAAGAGCCAAAAATTTCAAATTGAGAGAAAATTTGCATGTCATGTATGCTGTACCTCTCACAGCTTCCAAATAGTGTAAACATGTCTGTTACCTCTTTATATGCAATTAGATCTACATCTGAAGTTCATCCTTTATTACATATTCTGCACAAAAGTACTTTCTGTCACGCCCCATTGATAAAAAAAAACGGTGGGAAATCCTGTCAGGGGCGGAGCTTAGAAAGTAGTTTCTGTGCAGAATATATAAAAAATAGGGACTTCGGCTGTTGTATACAAATGAGAGATGCATTGATGTAAGAGCTGTCAAATTCCTATGAATTTAAACGGTAGTGTTCGTGAGATTCTGCTTGGCGAACTGAATTTTGATGATTTTGGGCTGTCTCTGCGTTGAAACGGGATCCAAAAGGACGGTTAAAATTCATTCTCATGTTTAAGCAGAGTTTAACATTATTGTTTGTTGCAAAATTCATGCACCAAGTGGATTAACAAAAATTAAACCTCTGAAAATGGGTTGGACGTCTTTGCGTAAATGCAAGAATGGCAAAAGGTTAAGAGATATATTTTTGAATATTTTAGTTCTAGTTCCCCATTATGTGCTTAAGAGGCGGATAAATTCGGACGTTAAGCTATCCAATGAACATATAAAATTATGATCCTGCTTGGATGTACGAATTTTTGATTGCCTGACGTAGCAAATTATGATTAAATATTGAACATGGACCAAACTTTCTAATTTTGTGAAAGCACAACTCTGAATATGAAATTTTCGATTATGCTGATGGAAAGAAAGTGAGGGGGCAATCCCAAGTAACCAACAAGCCTGCTTACACACTTAGAAATAACTAATTTTACATGTGACGGAATCCATCTTTGACATAAAAGCTAAGACGTAAACAAACATGTAATGTAATATTAAGTGCTCCGAGACTGAAAAGTTCGTTGCTCGATGAAAAGTACGTTTGATTAAGCTATATTTCGCGTCTGTTATGACTTAAATTTATGTCAAAATTGACGCTCGTATATGTAACTCTCAGAGCACCTAAATTTAATTAATTTTAATTTTTCTAAGTGTGTAGTAATAATCCGACTAATAATGCGCCAAAGCCCTGTATTAGTCGTATGTTCACTTTATATAACAAAATCAATCCAAATTAGCGGGCTCATTGGTTACCTCCCAAGTAACAATTAGGGTTTTATGAGGGTACTGTAGACCATGATTTAGACTTGTAGAGTACTTTTAAACCTCAATAAAACCTAAAATGTTACTTGGGGTATCCCACTGCGATCAAGCGTTTGGTTAATCGTGTTATCCATAACAAATGTTCAACGGAGATGAGATGGGCATTAAAGTGTGCACGGGGAATATACCGGAGGATTAAAGACAAGTGTTTCATATGCGAAAATATCCCTAACGGAAATTTCAGAAACAGTCAGAAAAATAACTAATTAGTGTGAGGAAATTGACATGTCAAGGAGAGGAAATAAGTAACTTCTACTGTACCACCAATTTTTCTGACAGATTTGAAGTTAAATTTTGACAACCGTGGCTGAGTTCTGTTTGAAAACCGATCGATCGATAACACCGGGATTTTCGAACATCGAAAATAACTTTCAAAATGTCACTCGTGGTTAAAGAGTTAAATTTAACTGGACAGTTGGGACACAGCCTAAGTCGACTGCCAAAAGGTAGTTGAATGCAAGCTTGTTGGAACTCAAGCTCCACTCAGAAATTTTTTTTCGGAATTATGAAATCATTAGATGTTATCAGGGTGGCAAGTGAACCAGGCAAACCCGGTAAACCGGGGGAAAATTGGGATTTTATTTTCACCAGGAAAAATTGGAAAAAATCGAGAATTTGATTGATGTACCAGGAAAATAATCTTGTTTCTATGATATAAATAACTTCTGAATTCACCATAGGTGAAGTGGTGTTGCGTTGCGTTGCGTTTGTAACGGAGTAATTCGTAGATTGCATACCGGTAACTGTCATGTATTAACGTTCTTATTCTGATTGCTTAAGGAAAACTATTTGGGAGTGAATAGCTTTCCAATCAGAGTTCAGAACAGACATTAACAGACATGATATTAACGATTGCCGGCCACGCCCATCTTCTCCGTTGCGGCAAAAAGAAGGATACTGTTGGTGTAACATCTACTTAGGCTGTGAACCATTTGCCGAGTTAAATTTAACTCGTGGTTAAAAGTGACATTTCGAAAGTTATTTTCTATGTTCGAAAATCCCTGTGCTGTCGTTCGACCGGTTTTCGAGCCACGGTTGTCAAAATTTATCTTCTTGTCTGTCAGAAATAACCATGCTCGGATAGCAGGGTTAATCGATAACTTTCCATCTGTCAAATTTTAACCAAAAGTTAAAAACAAATTCTTCAAATGGTTCAGAGCCTTAGATAGGTTATCACATTTCTCAATTCAAACAAAACTATTTCCTAGAGATTCAATAATGCCGATGCAGCTTGATGCGTCAAATTACCTGTTTTGATTCCTTTTTATGTCCTGGTCAATTCCACTGGGGTGTACAGAACAAGTCTGGACATGATAAATGTGGCTGCAGAGTTCTAATGTTCTTTCCAATCGATAGTAATTGATTGCTGATGCAATTTTCTGATTCGCAAAACCGGTCTTGGTACTATTCAAGTTCTGGCCACTTCCCCGGGGGCATCTGGAACATCTCCGAATGTGGCTTAATGGGGTTCTAAAGATTAAATATTACTACAAATTGATTAGTCATTGAAAACTGATGTAGTTTGGCTCATTATTAGTTTGTTTATTATTGAAGCTTACATTCCTGTTCCAAATACAAATGTCTGAATTGCGTGAGCCATCAAGGTCTATGACCAATACTAAAATGACATATAATAGGTAATGAGCGGATTCATCAAGACACCCAAAACATATCACAAATCACTACAAACGAGGCCAACAATTCCCAAACAAACATGTTTCTATTTAACCATTACTTACTATTAATAAATTTCATCTTCATAAAAAAAACAACCGAAAAATATTAACCTATAACACTGTAACCTGCGAACAAATTACATTCCAGGTCCCCTACTGTGCCCAACTGGTGAGCAATTCCGCGTGTTGTGTGCATCGGTAAAAAATCACTCTTTAACTACACTAACATTCGTTTTTGAACTTATGGTTTGGTATATCTTCGTTTAGTTTTTATTATCATTTGAACGAATTTTCCGTTCCCGCCAAATGTGTATTTTTTGGTTCTTAAAATGCTTCTTTCGTTTCTGAAATTATGTACTGCACCTTCTGCTAGATGCATCCGATTCCGATGGATGAAGTTGCCCACGTAAGTGTGCGACTTCCCCGGATTTGCTATTTGGATGGAAGGTCCTTTTCGGTTGATTCATTTTTCGTTCCATTCCTCTTCTATCACAGAAACACACTTTTCTATTTCTTCACCTCACTTTTTTTATTCATAAATGAGCAATGTTTGTGTATTTCTAGCAATTCCACAATCACCTTTTTCCACAACTAGAAAATTGTAAATACAACTGTTTTGTATTTATCACAGAGCACGCTCTCGTTTGAATTCATTTACTTTTTTTGGGAGCGTGTGTAAATTTCCAATTTGGATTCGAAAAAATCAACAAATGATCACATCTGACTCCATTTTCTCTCACATTTCACCGACTCATAACTGAAAACCCCTTCTCGCAGCAAGGAGTCTAAATTGCACCTTCATAGATTATCTGCTATATATAGAAACTACCTTTCTTCCTCTATCCACACTGGTTTTAAACTTTTAGTTTCGTTAACTTTACGACTTAGTTCTGAACCAATCTTCTGTTTCCTGAGTTCCGTTACTTGTTTCGTTTACCCGTTACAATTATTTTACTTCAAACAAATACATCAGCCACCCCTTTCTCGCAAACAATCAATTTTCAAATAATCAATCAATGTAGCAAAGTCGTTTTCTTGCAACAACAAAAAAAAATCACTCAGCACCAGCACCAAAATGAGCACCAGTTTCGCTCGCGGAACTCCCGGAGCGAGACGCCAGTTCCGTTTCTTTGAGCTTGCCTAGTTTTATTCCTTTTCACTTTTATTAGCATGTCCAACGAAATCTCTTGCTGAAATGTGTTTCTCCCCCCAAGCACTTGCCTCCCATTCAATTGTTGAATCGTTTCGAATTTACGTTCCATTTCTAAGTTGAGTGTGGTCTTGTCCTACAAGTTTCTACTCCCCAACAATCAGTGATCAGTTTCATCTAGCATCATTCAACAGCAACCAGAAACATTAAAACCCGATTGGTGGAATAAAGCTTACTTCCTGTTTCCCCCGAAGATCCATTTCCCCCCTCAATTGTTACACATCCATTACACAACATTTCTCATCACAGTCAAAATCGAAGAAAAATCAATTCTCCTTCCAAAAACAAAAATTTGATTTGTTTCGTTCTAAAATCAATTTTCGGTTTTCTCTAGTACGTGTTTGTGTGTTTCCAACGAATTCGGTTACTACTTTGCGTTTGTATTTGTAGCATATTACTAAAACTTCAGTTGAATTTATTCGCATGCTTGTAAATATATAGGATAGACGACTAGTAGCACCGATTATTAGTGACTTAACAACTAGCATAAAACTAATTTAAATTAACACCAATCGATCCCAATTCAACTTCAAGAGCATAGATATCGTTGTGCAAAAAAATCGGATCCAAAATTCATGAATTAGATACTTAGAAACGTTCACCGTTCAAATGCACATCCATGGTTAAACACACACTTGCTTAAGGATACACACACTTTTCACATCACATCTACGTGAGTGATTGGGTGACTATGATACACGAATAATTGTAACTATTCCACAACGATCTTAACAATTTAAATTTGTTTTATGTAGATAGGCAGAGGCGAAGAAGATGGACGATGCTTGCTGATGATGCTAGGAAATTTCTAAAAATTCACGGGTAAGTTTGAGGTGTTTCCATGTATGTTTGGTTTAGAAGTTCAGAAAACAAACTTTTTCAATCCTGATCAAGGAATCAAAAATATCTCCAAATTACAAAATGACAAGCGATCAACGAACCGAATAATAACGCTATGTCAGAAGTTCAAAGCAATAATGATATAATCTTCTTCGTTCTTTTTCATGACAAGCAGTCCGTGCGACACAACTCACTCGGGGCGGTAGAAGGAAACGAGCAAATTGTTGGCAAACTGCTTCACGAAGTAGAGCCGAAGATGATACACGTGGGTTAATGGGATTTTTTTTTGTTATGTCTTTTCTCGATTCATATCAAGCTATGTCCTCATCCGTGTATATTGCAACAAAGCAGGCAAGCATTATATCATTATCCTTTTACCACTCGGATCGAGCTATGTTATAGAGCGAGTTTGTCATGGTAGTCGTAGCAACCGTTTTGTCTGTATCGTTGGTTGCTTTATATGTTTGGATTCGCTGATCCTGATGAATGTGGGCGTCTTAGTGGAATACCTGTATAATGAGAGAGAGAAGGACTAGTATTTTCCATTTAATTCCACTACTTTATTTGCATCTGAGTCGAGAAGTCGAGTATTAGTACAAGACACTGAAGAAGTCTGTACATTGTAGATGAAATACGCGTATCTGTCAAGGATAAGCAAATAAAGTAGTGGAATTAAATGGAAAATACTAATCCTTCTCTCTCTCATTAAACTTTTTCAATATTTGATACACAGATCAAAATATTTTATTATTTTCTACTACCAACTGGAGCAGGTTTTCAAGTTTAAAATTACACGTTTAACAATCTAAAGTTCGATTAATTAACGCTGAAATTTAAAATTTAATGTAAATTTATATCGTTCGTTGAAAATTTAATCAATTTCAATTTATCTTTTGACTACTATGTAAAAATACACATGCATGTAAAATTCAATGCAAATGAATGTATTATTAAATACTTTCATGTAAAAATACATCAATGTGGCACATGTAAATTTACAAAAAAATTGCTGTGTAATTTACAAGTTACAGGAAGCATATTGTTCGATGAAAGAAAAAAAAACTTAACATCATCGGCATTGGGTTATATAGAAATGACCTGATTTTGACAGCCCCTCTACGCATCAGACTTTTAGCTTGTAATAATTTCACATAACCGTAATTTCAAATCTTTGTCATTCATCTTCAACATGAAGATTTACAGCCATTACTATATTCTATACGCACGACTTATTTATGAGCATAGTATAACGAGGTACTACGAAGGGTTCTTATGGCAACCCGGTAGTAAAATTTAGTTGTTTAGCTTGTTGTCGAATCTTCGTTTAATCATTTTAGAAACCTGACAAAATATATGCACGGTAAATTTTATTTAGTAATCTGCATTTAAAAGTTAAAGCAAATTATAAAAAAAAAAATAACACAAAATGTCAAGGGGTATTCAATTCTGCACACCTTGAACCATGCCGAGTGATTGAGCTGTTCCAAGGGCTGTGCCGAACAAGGTTTCAATCCAAGTGTGCCTATCAATGTGTCACTATTCCATGAGTTTGGCAACCCCATGAGTTATGACTCTTTTGCGTTTACATTCTTAATTTCTCCGATGGATCAAGGCAAGCATTCAGCTTCTCTTCATTCTCATAAGAGCGTTTGCAGATCGGGAGGTGGGAGAGGAAGTGGATGCCATCAAATATGTACGGAGTTCAACCCGTCCACCAGATTCCGGCTCGATACTATGAACAAGGCCTTACATGATGAGCTTTGAGTGGGTTGGTTTATTTCCTTTAAATTCCGTTATAATTTCTTATCTTTTGACAGATACGCGTATTTCGTCTACTACTTGCAGACTTCATCAGTGCCAAGTAGTCAACACCACTTGGCACTTGGCACTGATGAAGTACTTGAGTACTTGGCACTGATGAAGTCTGCAAGTAGTAGACGAAATCCGCGTATCTGTCAAAAGATAAGAAATTAAAACGGAATTTAAAGGAAATAAACCAACCCACTTAAAGCTCTTCATAAAGGTATTCCGTTAAGAGGTTCAACAAATTTAAAGGAAGGCCTTACAGTTGATACGAGCTAGTTCAAAAGAAGGATGATGACTGAGATGCATCTGCAAAATTACCGGATTTGATGACAGGAAGGGGTGTGCTTGATGTGGATATCCCATAGAATCCCATATCAATTGAGACCAATGACTGGCAAGGATATACTAGGGAAAACGCATGGGAAAATGTTAAAAGTTTCCATCCCGGATGATCCTTGGCACGACCGGTATACGAATCTGGCCGGCATCTATGATAAGCTGTTTTTTATTGATTAATTATTCTGCATAACAAACTTGTAAATGTACCTAAACTCTCGCAGAAAATCATGCTCTGATCCTTCGGAGTACGCTTCGAGGGACAAAATATTTAGCAAAAATACATTACCCAGCCTCAGCGTAGTCAAAATTTGTCGGATATACGAACAATTTCCTACTCAATTCCTAGATGATACGATAACAGACTTCTTCAAAATTTCCTCCACAGGCGACTTAAAATATTTATTTGCGTCCTAACTGCGAAGGTGCATAAATTGTATTTTCATGATCACGGGATCCAACCAGTTTGTAACATAGGTAGCTTTTGACCAACCGTCGGTCACTGGAGGCATCCGCTGCAGCTTTTTTTTTTTGGCTTTATTAGAGAGATTTTTAGCCGTTGGCTAGTTCATCTCTATAAAATAGGAGGCCCCAGAGGAGGGGGGGGAGTTCTGACTGCAAATTTTGTTACGGAGTTGGCTTACAATTCACATGTACTCAAATAGAACCAATAAAAACAGATTCCAGTAAAAAGACTAATAATACAGACAATTAGAAAAAAAACACAATCCGGTACCTTCTGGTCCCGTAGTTTCGACATATCCGTCCACTTGCTCGTCGTTTCTTTGATTCTTCGGATGAAGAGGGATTGGGATTGGCACCACTCTGCTTCCCAGGCTACCCACATTTTGCACCACTAAAGGGTGATACGGTCAAAATTTGGTCAAGGGAAAACGCGTGTAAATCGGTGAAATCGTTTATTTAAAAAATCAAATTAAATTTCTTTTTCAAGTTCAATTAGTATAAAATTCAGGAAAAATATTCAGTTAGGCTTCCGCTTTTCCAA